ACAGTGACAGTGACAGTGACAGTGACAGTGACAGTGACAGTGACAGTGACAATGACAATGACAATGACAATGACAATGACAATAAAAACAAAAATAACAATAACAATAACAATAATAATAATAATAATAATAATAATAATAGTAATAATAATAACTGTGGGACTATCCCACGCAACCGCACGATCAAAACAAAAAAAACTTGACCTGGGTTTTTTTATAAAAAAAGAACGGTTCCTAATTAAAAAAAGTGTCGAATAATTCTTCGTTTTGAGTTCCAAATCAATTGCGAGTCTATATACATCAATTCTACATACGACTGAAAGGTTTTATCAAGAAAGAGTCGGACACAACGATCAAAGAGACAAGTAGAACAACCGTTCTGTTTGAGGATTTTTCTAAAAACGGTGTAATAGTGAATATATTAAACCACGTTTAAATTGTAGAGGAGTGAAGCTATGAAAATTAGTGAATGTAGGTTTCCGATAACCAGAGGTTTCAAAGTGGCCATTAGTTCGTGTAACAGTGATGTCAACGAAGGAAAGTTGACAATTGGATTCAACTGCACAAGTAAAGTTAATGTTAGGAGGTTGCGACTGAGATAAGCAAGAAAAAGAGGAATATGATCCCTAGAACGGAAAAGGGTCTTCTTCTGTGTGGGAAGTGGTAGGGTGAACATTGAAAACTTTATGACCGGCGAATGTTTTTAATTTCTTATTTTGGTAATGGTATCCAGGTTGGCGGATATGAGCTGCAATATGTTCACACTTTAATGTTCTATGTTATGAATATAAAAATTAGGAAATCTAACAACTGGACATACTGTACAGCTACACAATTACTACACGCGTAAAAACGTACAGCCGTTGTTACAAATCTGCAAACGAGATCCTCCCCTTGCTCCAGTCTGCTGTGAAAGTCTTTCAACTTAAACCGGCCGTTGAATTACCTACTAGAGGAGATCGATAGAACTCTTGACCAAATTTTTGCCACCTTACAGAGTATTTTTCATGTCCGTGTAGTTTACCCGCATTTGGTCTTTTGGACCATCAAACCATACTTATCTCGGCTAGAATTCGTGATGATAAAACCTTCAAGCCCAAATGCAAATTAATTACGACGAGAGATAAACGACCCAGTAAAATAGCAAGTGTTGGTCGATTTCTTTAACAAGTAGCTTGGTCTGACTTGTTCTCCCCGGCTCAGTCAAGTGAAGATAAACTTAACATTCTTACAGATATAATAAATTTTGGCCTAAATACCATCATGCCCGTGTCAACCATCAAGATACATGAATCAGATCGGCCCTGGATGAACACTAATCCAAAACAGCTCATCTCTCGTCGCCAAAAAGCTTTTACATCAGGTAACAATCCTCTCTACAAAATTCTAAGAAACAAAGTCAACCAAGCAGAAACTGCTATGTTACAAATCCTACTACGTTAAAAAGTTAAAGGTTTACGAGATTCCAAGCCCCGTGACTGGTGTAGAGAAGTTAAACAGATTTGCGGCGCCAGTATAATTCCAAAACGGGACCTAACCTCATTACTCCATCCAAACCTTATCTGTGATAAGGAATCTCTGGCTGAAAATATCAATTCGGCGTTTGTCAACATAATGAATGATTATTTACACCTGTCAGACTGTATACGTGTAGAAATGGCTGATGATCGACCAATATCTGTCACTGAACACTCTGTCGCAAGAAAGCTTTTAGAGTTAAATGCTTCTCGTGCCAGTGGTCCCGACAACCTCCCTAACTGGGTACTTAAACATTTTGCGTACATTCTAGCGGCCCCAATTGCTGATATCCTAAATACTTCGTTCTCGGAATGTAAATTTCCTGACGCATGGAAACTTGCCAATGTCTGTCCCCTGCCTAAGGCATCTTCTATCTGCAACATCAATGAAGATTTAAGACGAATCTCTCTAACACCCACCCTCTCAAAAGTTGCTGAGAGCTTCATCATAGACATTGCGTTGAAACCTGTTCTTCTAAGCAATTATTGGATGAGGCTAAGCATGATATCAAGAATTATTCAGACCCAGGTCAATATTATCTGCCGAACCGAAGCTGAGGCGGATAACATAGACCGAGGTCTGAATAATTCTTGATATCATGCGAAAGCCGAATCCAATAATTGTTTTATTAAACATTTAAAGACATAAGAAACTTATAAAACGATTCCTGTTCATGAGGTAGGAAAAGCATAATTTGAATATCAAACACCTTACACAAAGTATTCACCCCTTTGTGGCTTTTTCGTGCTTTCACTATCCTTATCTGCCAATAATTTGGAGAGTTCACTTTCATCCAGCGAAGGAAATCTGCAGTAGGCCATTGTTTTTTTCTTTTTTCGCGCGCTTATAGGTTCAAGCTTTTAGCCGCGCAAGGGTTTGGGCACGATAAAGTCCAATAATTTTTTTTTGGATGCAAGTTCGATCCAAAAAAGCAATTATTGGACGCATCGGCGGAAAATACATAATAAATGCCGAATACTGAAAATTAGCCGGTGCTTCCTGAACAATTAGAAACGAGAATACATATTAAATGTATAATAATACCTATTATCGACCCAGGCCAATTTGGGTTCATCTCAGGCTCGTCAACTACTCTAGCACTAATCTCTATGTTCCATCATTGATTACGAGCTACCTACGGCACCGTATCCACCGTAAGAGCCATACTTTTAGATTTCCGCAAAGCTTTTGACTTGGTGGACCATAATATTTTAGTCGCCAAACTGTTTAGTATAGGCGTAAAACACACGGCCGTCAATTGGATAATTGATTTCCTCAGACACAGGAAGCAGAGGGTTAATTAAACTAAACAACATCGTTTCCGATTGGCTTGACGTCCCAGCAGGAGTGCCTCAAGAAACTCGTCTTGGTCCCTGGTTGACTTTAGTACTAATCAATGATCTTAAGCTACCTCAGGAATCCTTACCTATGTGGAAATTCGCCGATGATTGCACAATCTCTGAAGTGATACCACCCTTCAAGCAAAGCTCTCTTCAGCAAGCTGTTGACTATATCGATGCATGGTCTCAAGAAAATCGATCACAATTGAAACCAACTAAGTGTAAAGAAGTCCCATCATGTTTCAAGAGAAACCCTCCATCATTCCCTTTAGTCGAACTAAATGGTTTCCAGTTAGAAAGAGTTAGCGTGGCCAAAATTCTTGGCGTAACAATCCGGGACGATTTTAAGTGGAACGACCATATTGGTATTATCACCGTAAAAGCCGCAAAACGACTGTATCTTTTGAGACAATTAAAAAGAGCCGGGATCTCTCCAAAAGATCTTATCATTTTTTACTGTAGTGCCATCAGATCACTCCTGGAATATTCGTGCCAGTTGTTTCATCGGAGTCTCCCTATCTATCTGTCAAACGAGCTTGAGAGTATCCAAAGGCGCGCTATGCGTATCATCCTCCCAGACTTGAAATATGCTGACGCGCTAAAAGACACCGAAATTTCCACTATCTTGGACAGACGAGCCCAACTATGATCAAGTCAACTTTTTGAAGATATTGTTAATAAACCGGATCATAAGCTCAGTGGCCTACTTCCACCGCTAGCATCATAGCTCAAATATATAAATTTTAACAACAATTAATCTAGGTGATAAATTGACTTACTCTTATTTTTAATTATTCAAAATTGTTGTAATAATGTATATAACTCAAATGTTGTAAATATTCGCATAATTCAGTCTACGACTGCAAAGTGTTTTATTTGAATAAACGAATCTAATCTAAAACAAAGTCTGTTTACATGCTGTCAACAAGTTGTGTTCGCACTGTTTATTCCCAGTTTGTTGTAACAAGTTTGCAACAAGCTGTTAACAACTTGTAGCAAGCCCGATGGCATTATCATACTTGTTACAAGGTTATTCTAACAAGTCTGATACAGTCTTGATATAACGTGTTATATTATCATGCAAGTACCGTACTTGTTGCAACAACCTTGCAAGAAGTATGATGATTCAACAGGGTCGTTATAACTTGTTAACAAGCTGTCCCATCCTTGTCGACAGCTTGGGATAAACAGGCACAACTTGATCAAAGCTTGTAAACAGACTTATTACAATATCTGAAGATGTGCGTTTTTACGTGTGTACACTAGTTTTGTTCGTGACTCGTAACATGCACAACCTGATAACATGTTGTTGAAACAGGGAACAATATACATATTGATTTCAGTATTTTACTGGGTTATATTTTATGCATTTGCCTGATGCATATTGCATAACGCCAAGCAGCAGTTACGTTTATAACATGCAAAAAGCCTTCGTCCAATAATTGCCCTTTTGCAATTGTGCAAATAAAGGTAACATAAACATCCAAGCTGCTGCACTTTTCACACCATCACCAAGCTGCACACTTGAAAGATAAAGTTCTCACAAAGGCGTAAATATCCGATTGTGGTACTAGAAAGTAACCATGCTGTTTTTTGTTGAATCACATGTACAACTTCTTATAGAAGAACTTAAAAATAAGTTATGATGATTAGCATGCTCTTTTTCCCACTGTTGGAGTGCTTTTTTAGATGGAAACATGTCGCTATTCCGGAATTCTTGCACTACTGTAAGTCCATATGGCATGCACCATCTCTAACGACTTCATCAATTCTATTGAGGTTTTGATTCTGAAACTATGGCCAGAAATTACGGACATTGATTCTGAGCATGTGCGAACTTTGAAAAACAAAATGGCGGATATGTTATATATAAATCATTAGGAGTGGTGCGGTTTTTTTAAATTTAAACTTGTTTGATAATAGCTATGTCTTTTGCAGACTTCGCAATAATATAAACTATATCTGGACTGTAAAACAGAAAAGTTTCGCATCGGAATCTTACCTATAAGTTGTTCCATTATTCAAGTTCACTTCATAGTACATCGGCGTATAATAAAGTATAGTAAAACTTGAGAAAATCGTTCAAAACTTACATTTTGCTCTGGCCGCATGTATCCATCGAACCCTTCATGAAATTTGCAGACTTCGCGTCGTAAAATATATGTTGTTTCCTGCTTATCTGCATAATTTCATCGTGATACGATTTTTTTAACTTGTTCCAGTTTACGGGACAAAATGTTGATATTTTACCCATAAATACCCTGTCAATAGGCCGTAAAACATTGCAAGAAGAACGATGTTTCATGAATTGTCGTCCATGTTTGATATCAACAAGAAGTTTAGGAACCAGGCTTTCTTCCAGTGTGGGCTACACGGAGGGATAGCGATGTATACACAAAATACTTGAGTCGTTTACCATGCGCATCACTTTATATCCCATCATAATAAATGAAAGGTATGTAAAAGGCCGTCAATACCTAATATATGTATTTTTCTGCTTTAGTTAAACAAAAAACTAAGCAAAATGTATTTTTTTAGTTAAAACTTGCGTTTGTTAGGTATGAATAACTTTTCATAAGATAAACCGCTGAGATATATTGCGGGCGCATGTCCTGAATTTCTGGCCAAACATGAATTTTTGAATGAACGAACGAACGAACGAACGAACGAACGAACGAACGAACGAACGAACGAACGAACGAACGAACGAACGAACGAACGAACGAACGAACGAACGAACGAACGAACGAACGAACGAACGAACGAACGAACGAACGAACGAACGAACGAACGAGCGAGCGAGCGAACGAATGAATGAATGAATTAATTAATTAATTAATGAACGAACGAATGAATGAATGAATGAATGTGTTTGCACGTGCATCGTGCTACCGGCGCTCCTTATTATTGACCAATTTTAGCATGTGGCACTCGCGTGCGAGTAAAAATCCAATAATTTGAAAAATTAAAAATAAATATTAAATATTTTCTACTAGTAGTATTCAAACGAAACTTCCTACATGAAATCGCTTAAATACAAGGAGTATTTTACTGCTATTGACCTGTGCGAATTCGGAAGAGTTTAGAAGATATTTTAGCGAATTTCGCTAAATATGAAATACAGAATGTTTGGCCAAAAGCAGGGCCGCCGAGAGGTTGGCGGGGGGCCCGGGGCTAATTTCTTTTAGGGGCCCCTATTTAAAATTTTTTTTCGGAGAACAATCCCCCCGGTCGATAACTTTTTAAGTAAAAAAATTTTCGGACGAGTACGTTGCGATTGCTCTCCAGGGACTTTATCTCAATTTTTCATGCCATATTTTGGTACTTACCCCAAAAAACAAATATCTTGTCCTTTGCGCGGAAATATTTAACACACAAAAAAGACTGGGGCCCAAACTGAAAATTTTTCAGGGGCCCCCAGCACCTCGGGGCTCGGGACAATCCCCCTCACCCCTGCCCTCCCCCCCTCTCGGCGACCCTGGCCAAAAGCGACGAGTAAATATACGATTGTTTGGGTTTGTGTAATCTTATGACGGCATTTGACCCACAGTTCGAAAGGTTATTTTATGACGATTTCAACGGAGGTTTCCGTTTTAAAGTGCCTATGTCATAGTTTGGGAATTAACCTATTTAGATAGTTTAGATGATTTTACCGAACTTTTGCAATATATTTTATAATTCGAAAATTTGATCTTCATGGACTTTCGGGGGCTTAAAGTTGGCGATTTTGCCTATTTTGAGCGTTTGGCCGCCAGCATAAAAGTACTGGGGCGAGAATGCCGGCGTGACGTCAAACCGGGAAGTCATCAAAACAAAATGCATAGATTTACTATAGTTTCTTGACAAAATCGAGTACAAATTAGATGTTTTTGGAAATTTCTTCGATATTTCGATTGAAATTTAAATGGAACTATATCCTTAACCTTCGGTTATCCAACTGACAGGTAGATTGGGCGAGATACTAACTTTATGGCTGAGAGTGCAGGTCAAACACATATACGCTGATCATGCTATATATTCTATCTCGGTTTCTTGATTTATATACAGAAATAGAGACAAAACGGCAAGGAACTGTAGGCTGTTGTTAAACCTGATCCAGTGGAATATATTCGCTTTGCCCTCGGTTTTGTCAATGCCAGCCAGAATGGCGGAAATTATTGTGAACAAAACGCCTCGTCCACTGATCACTACAGAGTCAGAGGCGTCAAAATGTGTCGTATAAAATTGGCGAGAAGGTGATTAAATACGGTTTTTATGTGATTTAAAACTAAAAGAGAAACTCCCAAGGCAAACTGAACTTGTTCTATAGTTACTGATAGGTATGCAAGAGAAAATTGATCTTTGAATAAAGTGGCGATTCTACTTTTCCCTGCAAAATGCATAAACAACAGAATAAAAGGTATTTATGGTCCTGGGCCACATTGTTTTAAATTTATATTTTTATTCTCGAATCATACTGTAAAAATCACTTCCTTAAATAGAACAAACTTGTCTTGTCATTTTGAAAATCTTGTTCAGTTCTTTATAGCAGATGTCCGATGAAACCATTTCATTGCCAAATGTAAACAAAGCATGGCCAAGGCAATGCCAGTGGGTCAATCCAGATAATTTCCAGGGATTATATACTTACATTGATATGTCGTAATTTGCCAAAATGATCCATGGCTCATGAATCAATAATGTCACACCCATAACCATATATAATATCATTTTATAATTTATAAATATAATAAAATTCCTTGTTTTATTTGCATGTTTCTGCAAGCTGGCAAGTTCGGCACCTCAAATAAATTGAATATTAAATACAAAGAACAAGTGTTTCAAAATGTTTTCACATTTAATGTTTTCACAACTTTATAAAGAATAGATGTTTATGATTTAGAAATCAAATCCGTTAGGTCTTTAGGATAAAGAGTATGGTAAAGACATGTCATAGCCTAGAAATGGGCGAATCATGAAATACAATAGGCCCCTTCGCTTGCTTTGTTTACATTAGGCATTTTGCTAGCAGACAAGGTCAAATGTCGAAAAAATACAATACTCAATGGAATATTATAATTTTCAAAATATTATAGTTTACTATAACTAAGAAAGTGATTTTTATTATTCATGAATCAGAAATATAAAGATATGTCATATTTAAAAAAATGTAGCCTTGGTAGTTGTATGATTTCATGAACACAATTAGAACACAATATTGGCCTACATCTTACATTTAGGCGATTTTGCAAGACTAGCTTAATAAACAAATTTATTCAAATATCAACTTTTACAGTAATTCATGAATACATGTCAATATAATAAAACAAGTTCACTTTGCCTTCAGAGTTTCTCTTTTTAAATCATATAAAATTCGTATTACCTACTTTTTCACAAAATTATTTACGGCAAATCCTGACGGCTGACGCGGCTATGACGCCCAAATTCAAAGCAAACCGGCGATTCAGCCGCTTCTATTGATCATGGACGAGGTGTTTTGCCCACAATAATTTCCAATCTGACCCGTACTGACAAAGAGAATAGATTCTCCAGGATTGGGTTTAACAACAGCCTACAGTTCCTTGCCGTTTTGTCCCGATATTTCTGTATATAAAATCAAGATAGATTAGCATCAGCGCATACGTGTTTGACCTGCACACTCAGCCATAAAATTAGTATCTCTCCCAATCTGCCTGTCAGTTGGATACCCGAAGGTTAAGGATATAGTTCCATTTAAATTCCAATCGAAATATCGAAGAAATTTCCAGAAACATCTAATTTATACTCGATTTTATCATGATTTTATCAAGAAACTATAGCAAATCATATGTATTTTGTTTTGATCAGTTCCCGGTTTGACGTCACATCCGGCATTTATAGGCATCTCGCCCTAGTCCTTTTACACTCACGGTTAAGCAAAAAATCGCCAACTTTGAGCCCCTGACAGTCCATGAAGATCAAATTTTCGAATTATAAAATATATTGCAAAAGTTCTTAAAATCATCTAAACTATCTAAATAGGTTAATTCCCAAACTATGACATAGGCACTTTAAAGGGGGAATAATACTTGGCGAGATATTTTAATCTTCCTCACTCCAAAGTCGGAAATGCAAATGTGAACCGGATGACAATGAGTTGATCATGATTTTGATGTTTATTAAATTTGAAAATCCTTTTCAATAATCACTTTGGATTTGTCCGGATAATAAAAATTTTTATTTAAAGGTAATATATAGGTACACTTTCAATAAAAAGATGAAAGGTATATTACTTGTTTACACAGGCTTAATTATGCAAACCTTGAACGCAATAAGCAATCTACAGTTGTGTCTGGGACATTAAAATATTTTCAACCTTCCATGATCATGGAGTCAAAACTATCCTTGGAGTTGAAACGAACATTTGGAGGGGTAGAAACTACCCTCTTTTCAAAGGGACGGAAATGACCCCTAGGGGTCAAAACACGGTCAAAACTGCTCTTTTGAATTGACAGTGTAGGCCAGTTCCAATTACAGTTCATATATATGACATGAATTTCATGTATGAAATTACTTTAATTGTAATATGTGAAATGTATAATTTCATCAAATATGAATATGTGAAATATATGACTTGATTTTCATATATGAAAATTCAAATATGAAATGATCAAATTTCACATATGAAATGGATTTTATATATGAAATTTCTTTTTTCATATGTGCATAAATTGTATAATTTCATATATGACTTGATTTTCATATATGAAAATTCTTATATGAAATTACCAAATTTCACATGTGAAATGGATTTCATATATGAAATTTAGTTTTTCATAATTATGTGAATTATATAACTTCATATATAACTTGATTTTTATATATGAAAATTCTTATATGAAATTACCATATTTCACATGTGAAATAGATTTCATATATGAAATTTAGTTTTTCATATGTGAATGGTATAACTTCATATATGACTTGATTTTCATATGTGAAAATTCTTATATGAAATTGCCAAATTTCACATGTGAAATGGATTTCATATATGAAATATAGTTTTTCATATATGAAATTAAATTTCATATACTGTATGACCTGCTTTTCATATATGGAAATTTAATATGTGAAAAAGAGAATTTCACATATGAAACTGAAATTTCATATATGAAAGCCCCGTTTACACTACGCTCAATTTTTGGTACGGCACGGATAAAATTGGTACCCGTACCACTTTTTTGGTTCTTCGACTACCTATTTAGCTAAGCCACGTTTACACTACGCTCAATTTTTGGTACCGTACCACTTTTTGGTTCTTGGACTACCTAATTAATTGACTAAAAAATTGAGCGTAGTGTAAACGGGGCTGAAATTACCTTTTCACATGTGAAATTCTAATTTCACATATGAAAATCTTCATTTCATATATGAAATTCCAATTTCATATATGAACTTTAATGTGAAATTTTTGTGAGGGTTACGTCTAGCACCTGTCCATTAGGAAAAAGAATATTGTCTATTTTTTTTCTGTGTAGGTCAATGAATTTTTCGTCTCAGTTTGCATATATGTTTGGACTATAAAGATAATATTTAGGTAGGCCATATGCACGTTTACTGATCACTTCCACAGCAGCTGGTTATGATCTATTTGTGTAATTATTATTCCATTGTCGGTATTACAGCTATAATGGAGACTAACGATGTTGCATTAAGCTAAATATTTTCATCTTTGAATATTACTATTGCATCTGGTATAGCCAAGGAAGTCCTAACAAGAAATAATAGGACGAGCATTATTTGTCAGGTAAGGCCATGCAATTTACCTTGTTATTACCTTGTTATTCTGCAAAAACAATCGATTTTTCGCATCGTGCATGCGCACAACGGGACATACAGTATTGCTTTGTATTATGAAATGTTCGAAAATATAGATATATAATGTAAATGTTCTTTTAAAGTGGGGCATAATTACTTTTTCCACATTCATTTGAGTTCTACAAGGCTTCGTTCATTCGCGTTAATAAAGCATCTGCGGCATTATAAAAACGATTAAGAAAAAAAAGAAAACAAGTGCCTCTGACTATATTTTGAGTCTATTATTATTAGAAAAAATGTATTTTAACGTCTTTCATAGATTGTATAGACTACCGTCAAAATCCTGTTTAATGACGTCGCCTCAGTATTCCAAGTCTGATGCAACATGAATTTACTTGTCTGTTATGGAGAATATATCAAGGAGTTCAACCAGATTAAAGGTTTAATTACCACGTGTATAACGTCAGACAATCTGCATGTTCCACTTATCTGAACCACCAAAGTCAAGAATTATACTCTATAAAACCCTACACTATCCGAAAGAAAGCATTAGTCAAGAGTGCTTGTACTTGTGCTCATGTTTTAATACAGGCTTACTTCTTGCTGATTAGTTTTGTATTTTCTAGATTTTAGTTCTACAATGCGGTCCTCTCCGGGTAACCGATTCCGTACACTTAGTAGAGTATTTCATCTGGTTGTGTTTCTTATCTTATCACGTATTACTCTTATTACCTCAACTCCCCTGATACAAGTAGACAATCCTGGTGATCTCACCTTAGGTGGATTATTCCCCTTGACATCTGTAGATGAAAAACAGAACTGTCGTGATATCATTTCTGTCGATGGTATGAGTTCATTTCTGGCTATGTATTTCGCCGTAGAAACAATCCACTCGGACAACTCCATTCTTCCGAATATAACTCTCGGAAGTAAACTTTTGGATACTTGTAAAAGCCGTGTTTCATCGCTGGACTACACCCTTAAACATTTCGTTTTTGGCGAGAGTAATGGAAAACTAAGTGAATATCCAATTGTTGGACTGGTTGGACCAGCGACCAGTATTGAGGCAGGCACCATATCCAAGGTAAAAGTAGTTGGACGGGTGTAATATTTTTGTTTGAATTTCCACCGTATAGATGACTTACTACATATTATTTGTAATATACAATTACTTTATAGTTTCCGTGTTTGGATGGCCTGATCCAAGACGCGGGAATGTTGCGCGCTTTTCATAACTCGAGCAACATTCCTAATTGTTTTATAAAATAACAACTTTCCATGTTAAAATATCACTTTAAAAAACTTTCACTTTAAATTTCCGTGTTTGGATGGCCTGATCCAAACACGGGTTTGAACCAATCAGAGCACGCGTTATATACATGTCATTTTATAACACGCAATCTCAAACCGTCTGTGCCATTGCAGATAGAGTCGATGACAAGATGCTGCGTTTTGAAAGATGCAACTATACCTAAAAAATACAAACAGAATTTCGACATTTCGATTGAAGGCCCTGCGTTGGGAAGAACTTGTGCTTGTATTTTTCAGGTAGTAATATTAACATATACAAATAATAAAATTATGCGGTACGCATGGTAAGAGAACACGAAAGAATGGTGTTAGGAAAATACATAGAAATATGTATTCCATAATTTACCATTCTTCTCAAAATGCATCATTTGATTGACGATATGAGCAAGGTTTTTGTGTTTCCTGACTTGTGCCTCCCATATACTTACTGTACAGATTCAGTTTTTTGTAACATGTCCAAAACTCAAAATTGTGTGTTCTTAAATTAAGGAAAGCTGAAAACATAATCGCTCCAATGCTATAGGATTTTGATTTCCGCTAACCTGAGATTATTTGTGTGTTTAGTTAAAAAAGTTGCCATTTGCTGTGCCGCCAATGTAGCTCCAAATTGGAATCGTTTCCCTTCTTGAACATCATTTACACACGCGAGCGTTTAGTTTGTACGTACATAATTCATGCATGTTCCGTTTATAAACGCAGCCACGAATCCGATAGAAAATAATCTCGGTTTAAGAGGGAATCTCCACTATCACCGAGTAACAGGTGGCACATGATGAAAAATGAAATGTTTTCTTACTTTGTCCAGTGATACACTAATGTATACTTAGAAACGTGATGTGCTTTGTTTTCAGAAATATTATTTTAATTTCCCGACCGGTCCCTATTAAACAAATCACTCATGATTTATCATTTTTGCGTTTCATATCTCCAGTTCGGTAAATGCTACGTGGACCAAAATACCACCATTCGATTCAGTGTAACGATAGCTACTCATTTCTATCGATAGATTTAGTGAATGGCAACATTATAGCGATTTATGAGCTTTGAAAGTCAAACGAGCTCGTATATTATCAAATTACGCAATATTACTGACAAATTATAAACATAAACATACCTTTCGCCGAATATAACTTCGTCCCATTGAGACGTATGCTCATTCTGATCGTCTTGATGAATTCAGAAGTTAAAAATAACACGTATAGTGTTATTTTCAAGCTTCTGTCTAGACTTGCCCAAGTCGCTCGCTAGGGACCGCGCGTAGCAAGAAGGGAGCGCTTGAGAAAGACGGAAGCGAGCGACTTGTGTCACTTGCCTGATTTTGAATCTTACTGAAAAATTTGGCGCGAAAATCAATTATGAGATAGTGGGCGTTCACCATGTCAATTTCACTAGTTACTCGCTGGGGCCTTTCGTGGAGTGGCCAAAATATTTCAAACAATTTCGTTAAAATTTTCAACGAATTGTAGCTGTTTTTATGGATTTTGCATTGTGTCTAACTCTAGACATTCTTGCCAGTTTAGTTAATGCGTTTTTCTTTGTGCACGACTCTGAAAATCCGAAATTTGGATCGTCGAATTCCCGTGCACGATCATAATATACTGAATCTGAATATAAACGAGGCAAAGACAATTTCAAGGTAAAATTATAACTTACAGTAAACTACACAACTTACTTTTACTGTAATAGATAACTACTTTACGAGAAGTCATATCAATATAAAATTTATCCAACAACAGTCCCTATATTAAATTGTTGTTAATAGCTGTGGAAACGTGAAAACTGTAGTGTGAAATATATTGTATTTGTAATGGCTAATGGCGCAATAAGGATAAAAATACCAACGTTTTCAGCGTAAGAAATTGTACTTACGGATGTCAAATGTATTACTAAACAACGGTATTCTAGCGATTTATGGCCATTCAAAATCAAGCGCCGGAAATTGTATTGTTTACAAATCGTTTGCAATACGTATTCATGTTGACCCTCATGACGGAGTATGTTTGTCCTTGACCTTGTACTAAGTTGTAATGCCTAATGGCGCAAAAAAGATAAAAAATACCAGCGTTCGATTCAGCGTAAGAAATTGTACTTACGGGTGTCAAATGTATCACTAAACAACAGTATTCTAGCGATTTATGGCCTTTATCTTTACAGTAAAATCCACGCGAAATTGTATTGCGAACGAATCGCTCAAAATTATTCAACGGCTAATTATAAAAAATGCAGTACGTTTGATCCTTGATAACTTTGGTATCGTTGGTTTTCTCTTTTTCGGCCGTATACCAGTGGATTTGTCTCACTTCTCTCTTCATTTTCATAGTATTTTGTGCCCAAAGGCCCCAAACTATTTTATTTTTAACGTTTTAAAGCGCTGTTTATAAATCCTAGCCGGTGGACTAACGCCGAGAGTTTTGTTTGTATAGGCCGCATTGGTACTGTGTCTGATTGTATAAAATCATGAGCTGGGCTCATTATATTAACAGAAACTTCAAAACTGAGCCACCTACCAGCAATACAAACCTAGCCAATTTGAGAGCGGCAGCACTCTCCCCTTGACAAGCAAAATCGACTGGTATATAAAACATTAAAATAATAAAGTAGGTTGCATGATAGACAGAGCAC